CAGGAAGTGGTCCACTGGACGTGACTGACAGGAAGTGGTCCACTGGAAGTTGCTGCTGCCAGAGTCTTCAATTCAATTCAATTTCTTTATAAAGCGTCAAATCACAACAAAGTTGTCTCAGGGACTTTACAGGAACATTCACATAAAAGCCAGTTAGTAAAGTTCTCTATCTAAGAATCCAGCAGACAAGATGAATCTTGGGTTCGTTGCAGTCTCCCATCCTGAGCAAGCACAGTGGAGACAGTGGAAAGAAAAACTCCCTTTAACAGGAAGAAACCTCCAGCAGAACCAGGATCAGGACAAGAGACCATCTGCTTTGACCGGCTTTGACCAGTCTTAACTGGAGTTGGTAGGAGAGGTCGTATCAGAATCAGAATAAGTTTTATAATCATTGTACCAAAATACATATAGAGATGATGTTCGTACAACAAAATCCATGCTCAATAATCCAGATATACAATCCAACATTTTTCAGTCAGGTCATCTGGACAGTTTTTTTTTTGTGCTGAAATGTTTTACCTTCCATCCAGAAGGCTTCATCAGTCAAGGAAACACACAACACAAAACTGCTTCTTCCCCCAAACATCTTACTCCAAAGTGGAACAAACCAGTTATGCTGGTGCTGAGACGGTCTCTGGGGCACGTTCGTACAGTCGTCCGAAAGGTAGGCGGAGTGCACGTTGCTGCTACTCCTTGAGAGCACGGCCCCTTATCCTTTTTCAGAATACTTTTTACATAGAAAAGGAGAAAAGGCCATGAGGATGGATAGTGAAATTACAAAAAAGATCTCTTCACACCTTGTCCTATCAGAACATGATTTAAGACATCAGACCTCTACCAGCAGAACATTTATAAACACGTTGCATGCATTTGATGTCAAGACGGTGAGATTTGTCCATGAAGCACTTCCAGATGGACCATAGTCCTGATAAGATGTTGGTGTCAGCCGGTATACAGCTCTGATAAGCTTTCATTAATAAACGGAGCTTTTCCTTAGTTTACGCATATCCCAGGAAAAATTTGATAAGTCAGCCAAACGGGGGAGTCAGATTCAGATAAGCCACAATTGTTGATTTTATTTTATTTTTTCAGGCAGACTGGTTTTTCTTGTCAGCCTTGAGTCCTGCTGGTACTTTTGATCCTAAAATGGCCAGATTTGTGGGCATTCCACTGGTCCGTGCTTACGAGGCTCTTCCAAGGTCGACTCCAACTTTCTGGCGAGTTCCAGAAGCCACAGGTGGTCTGCGATTCTCACAAATCGCTTCCATCTTACGGTTTAGCTAGTTAATCAGCTGATTTTGAGTACTTGAAGCATGAACCAAACCTTCACACAGACTCAGCAGTTTTGCCATGGCCGAAACTGCTGCCACCGTCTTCTTCAATAGCCGATAACATGGAGATCTGCTGATCCCAAAAAGCAGAAACCCTGCTATCATGATTCCAATGATATAAACATCTTCAGTGTCCTCCTGAGACAATACGGAAAGACACATCAGCTCCAAAACTACCCATGGATCCATGACGTATCCTGCTGCGTGCGTCTCAGCGGGTCATGAGGGTTCTCCAGGACCCTGACACTTGTTGAAAAGATTTTGTTGATCACGTTGAAAGTCCAGCTGACCAGATCCATGACAGTAGTAGTTTACGATTCGTAAGATGTGTAATAGGAGCTCCGATACACACAGCAAAAAAAAGGCAGGAAGAGGAGGAAAAAGTGTCCGCCTTGGACAAGAGCAAGTGGGTGGGGGGTGTAAAACAAAACAAACAAAAAAAAAAGAAATATATATATATATATATATAATTATACAGTTTTAGCTTCTCTCCATTGGCTCCCTGTCAAGTCCAGAATAGAATTCCAAATCTTACATCTAACCTACAAAGCTCTCAACAACCTAGCTCCATCTTATATTACAGATCTTATTGTTCCATATTTTCCTAACAGAGCTCTTCACTCTCAGGCTGCAGGTTTACTTGTGGTTCCTAGAGTTTCCAGCAGCAGAATGGGAGGAAGATCTTTCAGTTCTCAGGCTCCTCTCTTGTGGAACCAACTTCCAGTTTCTGTCCATGAGGCTGACACATTGTCCAGTTTAAGACTTTCCTTTTTGATAAATCCTATAGTTAGGGTCGGCTTGTTATGCTGCTATAGACTTAGACTACTAGAGGACAAACTGACCTCATTTCCTTAAATGAATTGTTAAAATTTAATAGTTTTCATTTGGTACTATTTCTATCTTAACATGTGATTCTTGACCTGCCATTGTGTATCTATTCCTACCAAACCCAGCCGGTCGAAGCAGATGGTCCTCTAGTCCTGATCCTGGTTCTGCTAAAGGTTTCTTCCTCATGAGGGAGTTTTTCTTTCCACTGTCGCCTTCATGCTTGTTCAAGATGAGAGTTCAGTGATGGAGTTAAACTCAAAGCTGCTCCTCAGATAAATAATGTTCAATTATTATTTTATAGATGAATGTTTCTGTTCAATTATTATTTTATACATGAATGTTTCTGTTCAATTATTATTTTATACATGAATGTTTCTGTTCAATTATTATTTTATAGATGAATGTTTCTGTTCAATTATTATTTTATAGATGAATGTTTCTGTTCAATTATTATTTTATACATGAATGTTTCTGATCAATTATTATTTTATAGATGAATGTTTCTGTTCAATTATTATTTTATAGATGAATGTTTCTGTTCAATTATTATTTTATAG